TAGGAAACTGGGAGCCCCCTCGCCTGGCTGCCGCGGCCCCCACTCACCCACTGCTTTCCGGCAGTTGAAGATCGTAAAGCCGTTGTGCATGCAGGCCGCCAGGAGCACGTGGTGCTGGGAGGGGTGCCACTTGAGCCTCCACACCCCGCCCTGTGTGGGCATGTCTGCGAACGGCTGCTCCATGTTCCGAATGTCCCACAGTAGAACGTGCTCGTCGTAGCTGAAAGCGATCGACCTCAAGGATCGTTCGTGCAGGAGGGCCAACACCCACTTGTTCCCCAAGGTCCCGAGGAGGCAGGGACACCTCCCGCGAGGCCCGACCCACTCTTCCCCCAGGACCGAGTCCTCTTTCCCAAGCCCAGCAGTGACGCTCTGGTTTGAGAGCTGGCCCAATCCGCCATGGCCGCAGTCAGCCTGAAGAAAGGGAGTGACCGATGCCGGGCCCCCTTTGACTCTGGGAACTCACCTGCCCGTGGCCAGGATGCCCTCCTGGTGGGGGCTGCTCTGGATGCTGCATACGCCCATGGAGTGTCTGCGAGCAGAAGGGCAAGGCCTCAGCCAGCGCCAGGCAGGGGCACCTCTCCAGGGGAACTCAAGGCAAACAGAGCAAATACCTGCAACACACAGCAGAGAGGAAGAGCTGATGCCACTAATACATGAGGACGCTATAAAACCGGGGGGCGGAGCGGGGCGGCGGGGACCAGAAATCACAGAGAACAGGCAAACGGCAAAAGCAGTTCCTACGAAACGGGTTCCTGGAGGCGAGGGGGACGAGGCACAGGAGGGACTGATGCTCCTCTGAGCGTGCTGCTGAGCGTGATTTTAATTTCTTGAACATTGTTGATGTTTTTACAAATTCAAAAGATAGAAATTAAATCAATAAGAAAACAGTCCTTAAATAAAAAAGTAATAAACCTAACTGTATTTCAAGTAGCCACACGGAAACAAACGACGTGACGCAAGTAGCTTTTCAGCACAGCACTGTGACTCCACCAACTCAGTCCAGCGGGAAGTGCTGACGGCAGTGAACTTCAGCGAGACCCTACAGGGTGACGGCGCTGTCTGCAGCCACGCTCTGTGGCTCAGACGCAAGCATAGCACTGGGTTCTGACTGGGAAGTACGAGAAAGGGAGCAAGGGGCAGAGAGCTGAAGTGTGTCTGGAAGGTCAGACTGTGGCGGCCACACTGTCTGCCAGCAGGAAGAACTAGGCAGGTGGGCCACAGACGGCCATGGCAGTGACAACGCAAAGGCTTCTGGAGTGGTGGTCCCAGCAGGGTCAGAGAAGCGCTGCGGGGGGCGGGACCCTATCAGATCGGAGCCTTTGGGTGGGCTCAGGTGGGGCCACGGCAAGGCCTAGGGTGTGACCCTGGGAACCAGTGTGGGGATAGGAAACTGGGAGCCCCCTCGCCTGGCTGCCGCGGCCCCCACTCACCCACTGCTTTCCGGCAGTTGAAGATCGTAAAGCCGTTGTGCATGCAGGCCGCCAGGAGCACGTGGTGCTGGGAGGGGTGCCACTTGAGCCTCCACACCCCGCCCTGTGTGGGCATGTCTGCGAACGGCTGCTCCATGTTCCGAATGTCCCACAGTAGAACGTGCTCGTCGTAGCTGAAAGCGATTGACCTCGAGGATCGTTCGTGCAGGACAGCCAACACCCACTTGTTCCCCAAGGTATCGAGGAGGCAGGGACACCTCCCGGGAGGCCCGACCCACTCTTCCCCCAGGACCGAGTCCTCTTTCCCAAGCCCAGCAGTGACGCTCTGGTTTGAGAGCTGGCCCAATCCGCCATGGCCGCAGTCAGCCTGAAGAAAGGGAGTGACCGATGCCGGGCCCCCTTTGACTCTGGGAACTCACCTGCCCGTGGCCAGGATGCCCTCCTGGTGGGGGCTGCTCTGGATGCTGCATACGCCCATGGAGTGTCTGCGAGCAGAAGGGCAAGGCCTCAGCCAGCGCCAGGCAGGGGCACCTCTCCAGGGGACAGTCCGCGGAGGGGGCAGGGCTGGTGTCATATGCCAGGCGCTGGCCCCTGGATGATTTACCGCTCGCTGGTGAACACAGGTGTACCGGGCGTCCTGGTGTCCCAGCCTTTCAACAGGCCATCGTCCCCACCTGTGGAAACACAAACACCCAGTGGCAGCAGCACTGATAACAGGAAGTGGCCACTTCCCAGGGAGAAAATTGATGTCTGTGGGCGAATTCCTGTGCGTGACTTTCAGGTGGGTGGCTTCAGGTGGCCACCAGGCAGGAGAGCCCCAGAGACAGCACCCTGCA